AAAAAAAGAATATGGAGTGTTAAAAATCAAGATATTCCCCCGTTGGGTTTGAAGAGTAAATTATTTTTTTAAATAATAATAATAATCATAATGATTCATTTATTCTAGGCAATTTCTAACTTATAAGTAAATAGGATGGTTACAAGGATATCAAAAACTTCGTATGGATCCCAACAAACTTAGCGCACAAGTTGATGAATACATACGTAAATTTGAAGAAGCAGAAAAAGAAAAGCATAAAGCTCTGGAAGCAAGACGTAATCAACCCGATGAAGATGGATTCATCCTGGTCACAGGAACCGGAAAGAGAAATATCAATACTGATGGTACTATTACAGTGACAGCAGCTAAAGCGGATGTGGTGAAAAATTTAAAACCAAAAAACAAGATATTGACAGACTTTTATCGCTTCCAAATGCGCGAAGCTAAACGCGAAAGTAATTATTATATTATAATTATCATATAATATGTAAAATTTTATTTATGGACAATTCTAAAAATTTTTAACATTGATTATTCCAGAGCTTGTTGACTTGCGTAAGAAATTTGAAGATGACAAACGGAAAATTGCTGATCTTAAAGCAGCTAGACGATTCAAACCTTACTGAATCGAAAATATTTATTTGAGTGATACTATGGAAATTTTTTTTTTGATTTTTAATTCGTCGACTTAGCCCTGATGTTATCATAATGTATGTAATTAAAGCATATTAGTTGATGATACGATTAATCGACAAATTAGCCAAGTTGGCTACTAATTGATTTAAAACTTCGAAGCAACTAATCATTGAATATCTATATACTTAATAAACTTCAAAAAAAACTTTGTTCAACCAATTGAACAACAATAAATGATGTGATTATAGAGTTAACCAATAAACTTAATTAAAAACATGTGACAAATAATCACAAATAACCGCAACTCATTGCCTATTAATTGTACTTCTTACTTTATCCAAAGTTAGAAGATTTTCGAAACATCAAGCAAATTTATGTAAGGCCATACCAAATTGTTTCTCATAATCCGGCTAAGCCAATCTTTGAAAATTTTTTTTTTACACAATAAAATAGTCAAGCGTCTTTTTTTACAAAAGTAAAGAGAATTTTTATTTAAATAAATATATATATATGTAAAATTTAAATTAAAATTTAGGTTGTCAGGTCTCCAGACCTAAATTAATGAAATAGTTAATTTTGTATAGCATAATGTTTAATCAATTTTGTCACATACACAAAATTAAAATTTTGTTATATCTATATACAGTATATATTTACACCAGTGGTGTTCAACACCATAGGCGCTATATCTCAAAAACGTTCTAGCTAACACACGTCAGGGTACTAAGCAAAATGTTCAGCGCCCCCAAAAACCTCAACCTAACTAAAATTTAGACCTATATCTTTACTACAGTTCAGACTTCCTAACTAATTTTACTAGCAAAACTATTAAAACATACTGTACGTATATGTGGTGTTGAGCACTGGTGTGATTTAGTGCTTAACATTAAAATCAGATAAGATCTTAAAATGTTACATAACGATAACGATAAGTAATATTGCTTAAGCCACAATGTTCAAATTTATTTGGCCATTTTGTCATTGGTTGGCCGAAAAAAATTGGTGGAATTGACTGGAAATTGCCAATACTGAATTTAGCATAGCGATACGTAGTAACTATATTTGTACATAGAGATTGGCCGTTTAACCGTTTAAAAATTGCTCCATAATTCCGGGCAGAATTATGTTGGTAGTGGGCCGGAATTATCTTAATACCGGCCAAATTAAACGGTTAAACAATTAAACGATTAAACGATTAAGAAAAATTTTAGGCGGTTCCAATCCCTATTTGTACAGTATATATATACCGATACGTACGTACGTACGCTTTTTACGTAGTACGTATAAGCGTAGATACCTAAATTCAAATCAATACGTATATACGTATACGTACGTACGTACGTAGCATGTCACTTATCAAATGTATAATAAAAAATTCGGAATTTACTTAAAAAGTTAAAACTAAGAAGATTAGTGAATGAAATTCTGTTTCAACGTTAGCAAATTCCGAAATTCCGATTTAATACACGGATAAAAAAATCGTAACGGGTATAAGCAACTGAGATTACATATAAATTCTTTGTTAAAAATAAGAGGTTGTAAATAACTAAAGCTTCTATATTTGAATAAAGTCTTCTATATTCGAATATTTGAAGGGTTGTCTTTCTATATCGATATCGATATCGCCGTATATAATAAAATATTATCAATTATCAATTAGTCAGATGACAGAGTCATATTAACCACAGTTAACTATATTCCAAACACGTAGGGTACACAATGACACATGCTTTTTTGCTATGAGACGATACCAAAGTACCTTTGAACTGTCGTTATTCACAAAGCTTTTTTCACGCGAAAACAGAGTATTCTAGTCGTTAAAAGAAATCGCTAGTTAAAATGCATAAAGTGAGGAGAAGACGTGTAGTTCCCGTTGATGTTCATAGTGAAGACGAGGACGAATTCGATGTTACCCGAGAAGAACTTGAACTAAGTGATCTATCTGGCTCAGAGGCAAGTTGCGAGGATTCGGACATTGAAAGCGAAAATTCACACAGTGACGGTGAAGAAGAAATCGGTAAAGAGACCACAAGTTCGATTACAGAGGAACGAAATTCTATTAGAGAAGAGGAAAGTTCGATTACGGAAGAGCAGAGCTCTGTTAAAGGAGAGGAAACTTCTGCAATAGAGGAAATCAGCAGCTTAATTGAAAACACAACCTTAACCTCGAACGAGGAAAAGGTAAAAAATCGGATCAAGTCAGACATTTCAAATTCTCCCGAGGTAAAAAGGGCAGCACATGTGGAAGACAAGCAAAAAGCCGAAAACGGTTCAACGGCTAAAGAAATTAACCATGAGAGTAGTTCACCTGAAGAATTAGCTGATAGCCTAACCGACGAAGAAAGCGATAGATTGGACGATCCAGATTTAGCTGAAGATAAAAATGGTAATAAACCGAAGGTATTGACAGGTTGGCAAAAGAAATTGCTGGCAAGGCAAGAGTATCGTAAGAAGCTTGCAGAAGATCCAGCATTCGTACCTCATCTTGGGGAATTTTGGGGACATGATGATCGGTTCATAAGAGATGAATTAAAAAATGACTTTGATCGCCGCCCGAGAAATTTACCTTTTGCACCCAAGTAATTGCTAATATAACGTTTATATTTTTCTTGTATATAAACATAATTTACATAATTAATTCTATAATCAATTACAGGGGTAGAGTAGTTTGGGGTGTTAATGAGCCCAGAGGTCGATGGGATCACGACGGTTTTGAGGAGTTAATGAAGATGGAGGAAGAAGAACGGCGTAGGAAAGAGCTTCAACGCAGGTTTCAACAACGTCGTGGCTTTAGACCCAGAGTATGGTTTTTTTTTTTTTTTTTTTCCTTCAAACAAATATTTGTAACTTAAATTTCAATATCACAAATTTCAAAGATATATCGGCATCGACCAATGTTACGAAACAATATTCCATCATTTAAAATTAATCAAAATCGGATGTCAAATTTATCTGCCGGAAGAAAGCCTTTGCCGTCAAGGATCGTGACAACTAATAATAAAGTACAAAAATCTTTGAACAATATTGGTACATCACCTCAGAGAACTTATATCAAGGAGAATCGAACAGACTTTAAGCAGAAAGGGGTAGAAACTACAGTAGAATCAACACCACAATATAACAATCAAAAGTACACTTCTCATTCACGTGATACTAATAGATTTCGGGGCGGTCGGGGATATAGTAAAACACCTTTACGAACACAGTCAAGCCGCGTTCATTCCGTATACCACAAACAAAGTACGAATGTTAATGGAAAAAATACAATTGCTAACAAAAAAA